AGCTACCTGAATTACTACAAATAAATTGGACTTTTTAGTCCAAAATTAGTTCCTTATATGCTCTTATATTTTAACGAAATTTTACATAATATTGTCTAATACATTGTGACGAAAATATTATGTCGGATAACAATATTATATAAGCTTTTCACACATTTTTTGATAAAATAAATCATTTTCTAATATTCGACGAATGTTCTAATAAGAGCAAAAAATACGGATTTAAAAATGTAGAACTCCGTCACAGTTTAATGAAAAAAAAAACAATAAAATAATTAGATTTATAATTTACTATAAGTAAGAACAATTTAAATTCTAATATTTTTTGATATATATAACGAATCAAAAACTATTATAGTACTAATTAGAATTCTGAAACTTTTAAACAAAATAATTACATGTAAAATATTAAATTCACAAGGAATAAATAAAAAGAAAAAGATCAAACATCATTTTATCTATGAATATATTAAACTCGTTTTTAATAGACATCCAAATTAAAACATTTTAAATTATATATAATTATTTTAAAAGTATTTTAAAAGTTTTTGATTTCCATATTTTTAGTGTTTCTTTGAAAGAATGATGTTAGAGATGATTAAAATTCTAAAAATTCTAACAAAATCCTTTTACTCATAGATTAAATCCAAAATTAAAAGAATTTTTCGATCACTGAATCGAAATCTTCTGGATCAATGTTGTGTATATATAAAAAAAGATTTTTTTTTGTAATCTTAAATATCTTTTGGAGATTGTTTTGCGTTAACAAAGAAGAAAAGAATTAAATTGAAAAATATTATAATTTAAATTACTAAAATTATTTTACTTTATTTAGCCTGGCAAAAAAATTTTAAGAGAAAATATAGGAAAATTACACAGATTGAGACAAAATCCTGAAAATTATTTTTTTATAGATATTTATAATGGAACGTAGCATGAGATTTGTCTTAGAAATTCTTAGCTTTTTGTAAATATTCATAGTGGGACGTAGAGTGGCGTTGTTTGAGAACGAAGAATTTCTTGATTTTCCAAACAAACAACGCCACTTTATGTCTCGCTACAAATATAAAAAATTAAAAATTTCTAAGATCTCGTCTCAATCTATATAGCTTTTTAAAAATTTATTCGTCAGGATGTTTATCATCTTTTTATATTGCATTGTTTAATGTTGTTAAGCAACATCATGCTTTCGACTTTTTACTATTACAATGATAGAATTAAAATTGCACATTAAATAATCGAGTGATTCGTTCGAATCTATCAGTTAACATATAACATGGAAGAAGTACATTAAACGAAATTTTTTTCTGCGTGCTCCTTATTCTCCAAAATCATATACAAAAAAGAACGGTATTATTTCACACTACAAATAAGTACTTTTTGTATCTTATAATAAATCAAACTTTCAAAATCTTTATATAAATCTTATTATATGTGTTATTAGTATTTTTAATTTTCAAAACATATATATATTTACACACACACACACACACACACACACACACACACACACACACACACACACACACACACACACACATATATACATATATATACACACATATATATACAAGATTTAAAATTATAATTCGCAGATGACGTACTTGTCTATACTTATTTGCTCCAAAAAAAGACTTCATTTGTGCATTGCACTGGTAAAATTTATTTTTTTCAATAATACAACTATGTTGCACTGAAAAAGAATTATTCATTCGACTAAATTCTTTTAGATCATTTTTATTTCTTTTAGTAAAAAATGTATGTACTTAAGTTAAAAAGAACATGTTAGGTTTAAATATATACAATACATACTTCAATTAAATAAATAAGGACTAAATTAATAATCAAATAAAAAGTTCTTTTCCAGTGTGAAGATTTATATACAGCTCAAATGTATTAACTAATTCCAACTGTATGATATTACACAGAGAGACTTTTGCTGAATACAGAACATCTTATTTTGTTGAATTTCCAATATTTTTATGTGGAAAGTCAAAAATAACTGGCAACGCAGCAAAAAGTTTTAGCAATCCGTTTGATCGTCCTACAAAATTATTTTGATAGTCTGACAAAATTTAATCTCAGATCTAGCTAAATTTTTAAATCCTTCAGTAAAATCATTTTCTCCGTGAACATATCGAAAATAAAATAAACAAAATAATCAACCAGCTTGGATTAATAAAACCCAAATACAGATAAAATATAGATTAATAATAATTAATAATAATAAAACATATAATATATTACATGGAATCTTTCAATTATATTTCGCGTTACATTTCGAACAAATAAAGCTTATTATAAATTGTTGATTTCAAATCAATTTTTATTAAAAATAAACAACACATTTCAAATTTCTATTGGATTGTGAATTTCAACATTAACGATTTTACGAAATTATGTTTACCTAATTTATTACTGACTCTTATGACCACTATGATTCTGCAGTTTCTTAAATTATTATTTTCTTGTCACATTTGAAGAAGCAGCGACAATGTGCCATACCGTTCGTATAGATACGACGTCTAAGACTAGGAAATTAAAGTCAGCAATTATATACATTTGTAATTAGTAAGTATACATACTTGACATGCAAGCACATACGCACGACATAACATCTTTATTATACTAATTTAAATAACTACGAGACGAGCAAAGATGTTTAAATAAAACATTTAACAATTTTATAAAATAGTAAATATAATACAATAATGCATATCAGTTAAGAAAAAAAAGAATATTATGAATTATAATTTAAATAAAGTTCAAAATAAATACAATTCAATTAAATAAATAAGGACTAAAAAAGCTACGCTGGATCTAATACGTTGATACTTAATGAAATATTCTCTTTAAATATTCCAAATTCATTTCACTATAACTTTTTTTAGTGGTATATGTAACTTTATAATTTAAATAAATGGCAGTAATAGTTAATATGTGTTGCGTGTATGTTTAATTCCATTATATTTATATCACACTGATGAAATCGTCAAAAAATTTCTCGTTAAAATTATAGACATATGACCTTCCTAATATCTCGTTAAAATTATAGACATATGACCTTCCTAATATAATATGATCTTCCTAATAGGTGTAGTAAAAAGAAATCCATTATTTTTGCATGAAATTGAATTGAAAAATAATGGATTTCTTTTTACCACACCTAATACGATCTTCCTAATGATCGTTGATTTGAAATTATTAGTACAGTTTTTTTGTTTTGCAAACAATATCTAACAAATGATGTCTGATTAATATGTTTATTCACCTTTATTATTTATTTAATAATATTTAAGCTATACTTAAATCTACGAAACACATCTTGCGTTTGTTTTATAAAAACCAACATTTTGATAATATTATTATGGCTTCTAGTTTCGAAAATAAAATGACAAATTGTAATGTTATTAAAAAATGAACAGCGCGAGATATAGTGTATTTTTAAATTGTAGTTAATGCACAAATACGAAATAATAAACTGTTTAAATTTAATTTTGTTTAAATTTAATTTTGTTCAAAAATAACAACTGTGTACAATTAGCAATTACAGCTTACTTGTTAATTAACCAGTTCTTGAATATTAATGTAATGAGTTAAAATATTTGTCAATTTTATCCAAAAATGATACGTATAGAATTTATATAAAATATTTTCATAGATACAATACTTATAACAAATTATTGCAAGTAAACCACTATATACTATCGTCCAAAAATTTGGAGTTTTTCATAATTTTTAGATAAATCATGATCCTTTATCAATTATTGTATTTAAAAAGTAAAATTGACTTTCATTTTTAAACGTATATTATTATAATAATTTAGGATAGAGATAATATAAATTTTAGTATATTTACAATATTTATAAATAAGTTAAATTTTCTTTCGAAATTTAAAAATGTACCAAACTTCTCAGCAATAACATATATATTACAGGTAACTATAAATTAGTAACTATTCCCAAATTTATATTATTTCCAATATTTATATTATTTATATTAATTTATATTATTTCCAATAGTACGCTAAAATCAACATTTCTCAGATTTAACATTAAATTTACTATTATAATATAACAATTTGTAAATCATTACGTAGCTTTCAGTAAAAATTTAATAGTCTTGTGTTCTAGTTTTAATTTAGTATTATGGCAGTGGGGCCAAATGGAATTTGGCCTACACAATTGACGTTTTTCCTTATCATCCATTTTCTTTGATAATACCGACTCTCACAGAAGGTACGTATATACAATGTTTATTATTTAATTCACCAAACACATCATATTTGATGCGTGTGTTACATGATAATAATTCTGCAAAATGGAATGCAACTCCTGAATTCCAACGACTGAACGTTGACATAGCTAGCTGTCCTTGTCTAACAATATCATATAATCTTGCCAGAGGTAAGAAATCACAACAAAGCGTCTAATTTTTCATTAAATGGAGTATCTTTAAAAAATGAAATAATTCATACAATTTTATTAGGTGACATACAATTTTATTAGATATTATTAGGTGACAACACATCGATAGCAGAACTCCTTTCGCTCCAAGCAAATGTAACACGGAATCGTAGAATGTGGAATATTCGAGAAATACTCACAATCAGCTGCCGTGATTCCTTTGTCGGATCTTCTTACACTACAAACCAAGCATGCCTTATTACAGACATGTACGTATTATCAATATTTTCACATTTTTTTTCCCATGTGGATAATACTATTATGACATATTATATATATATATTATGACAATAAAAAATTATGATAATATATCACTGCTACATAACTGACAATGTAACGATAGATCAAACTGCGATAATTTTCGAATCATATCATCAAATCATCATTATTTTACTGTTGTTTTGTAATTCTATTCTACTGATTTAATGCTATTCAACTTATTCTATTGAGTTTCAATTATGCTTTTATCATACACACGATTCCTATATTGTTACTGTTTCTCATAAACTATATGATTATTGTTGTAGCTCATTATGAATGCAACATACAGAGCACGTATGGATCTCAGGAACGAGAGTTGCCTTATTTTCGCAGAGAGGCGTAATGGACAGACAAGAATAGAAAAGTTAATCTTAATCTTAATAACTAATCTTAATCAAATGATATACACCAACAACAAAGGTACTTTCATTGTCAGCGAGAGTAAAGTGGACAATGTTATTAGTGCGTGGTCGAAAAACAAATATCATAATTTCAAACGGTTCTTTACAAAAGATATAGGAGAAATGAAAATAAAGTTGTTGGTAATTAGTAATCCGGTGTATATAGTTAAAAAAGGTGTATATATAGTTAAAATAGTTAGTTAATAAAGACAAACATAATTTTTTATGCCTTATCTCAAAGCTTTAGGTGATATTCTAAAAATGAAATACGAAAGTGTGGCATGTAACCTTATGTGGAACAATTATCAGGAGCCGATGTTAGGATTTTATTAGACAACAATAATGTCCTAAGATAGTTCTAGAATCAAATATGGTAGTCGTTGGCATAATAATTAACTATAACTCAGAACTAACAGGAATAGTTACGATGTTATAAATTATTTATCCCGGACATTAAAAACTATTGATTTGGAAGTTATCATATTATATTATTTACCATTATATTATTTACTAGATAAATGTCATTAGAAATTTAATTGTTTATTTATTAATTAATACAAACATAAGTTAGTAATATTAACATAAGTAATTTATAGCGCATAGACGAATTATTTTTTTCGTTACAAGTAACAAATAAAAGTAATTAATTACAAATAAATAATTATTTTTTTCAATAATGATTTTTCCTCAACCTGTTAGAAATGACGTTTGACTTTCGCAACCCTGGTGTTACCGTTATTGTCATAAAAACTTCATAATATCATTATCAAAATATTATTATATCAAAATAAAAACGATAAAGGTAATGCATACTTTCATTCTCTGCTTTTAAGTTCTCATTTTCTCATTTACTGTTTCTCAGTATTATAATTTTTTAATGCAAATTTCATATTTATATAGAATGTAACTTACTTAAATGTGTCCATTGACATATAATAATCTGAAATAAATACATTAAATTAAATCTTTTTTTATC